TTAGAGAAGAAAGTCTTTGCATTTAATTACACTGATGGAGGGACTTTTCCTATAGGAGAGACATATGCTTCGTTAGAGATCAGTAAAAGCTGTCTTATTTGTGTCTTGTACAAAGGATCTACGTTAGTTATAATTGATTTTATATTGTTATTATTATTATTATCATTCCAGGAGGGATACATCAGTGAAGTATGCTGGCCAATGTTCTTATGTCAAAGAATATAAGAGCTGCTGGACTATGAGTATACTATTCACTAAACACCTAAAGGCACATTTGAAGGTGCATATTGTTTTACATGTACATGATATTATTTTAATTTATAGTATGCACAATCTGAGTCAATTGGCACCATTGAGTCTCACTCCTTCTTGTTTACAGAATGGAATGATGGCCAAGAGTTATCAATGGGACTTCATAAGTTTAGAAATTCAATGGAAACTGATGGATGGAAGATATCCCCCATCTCTCTCATACCTGATAAGGTATAGTATGATACTATAAAATATTATAGTATAAATAAATAGGGCTCTTATGCTATGATAAGAAATCGAATTATTATTATTATTATTATTATTATTATTATTATTATTGTTATTATTATTATTATTATTATTATTATTATTATTATTATTATTATTATTATTATTATAGATAACAAAAGCTGAAATTGATTCTGTTGAGTTACAACAAAATTTTCGTAAGCTCCAGTCCAGAATAATTCCATTGATTGAGTTCTCAGTTTATATTGATAATATTGAATCTGCTTCTAATGAACTAAAGACGGATCTTGACATTGAAGGTACTACTTCAAATGTTATTGTTAGGAGACAAAAGGAATAGAAAGAATAACAATGAACAATGAGTGCAATTTTTATGCGTGTTAGTTAGTTTTATACTTTTTGTTTTTGATTTTCTCATTAGAACTTGATGAGTGTATAGTTAGTAGTGTATAGTTAGTAGTATATAGTTATAGTTATGGTTAGTAGTCTCATGCCCCGCCCCTAAAGCGAAGGGGCTGGGTGACGAGACTAGTTAGTTAATTAGTTTTATACTTTTTGTTTGGTTTTTAATAATTTAGAATTAGCTGCTACAATCATTACAAAACAGTTGCCTTTTTCTTAGTATTCATAATGCTTGAAAGAAAGACTGAATAAAAGTGCTAGCATCAGTCTTGTTTACACAATAAAATGACTCCTCCAAGTCATTTTAATTCAAAAGCTCAATATTTTTTTTGAACAGTAGACTGCCATGATTAACTATAATTATTTTGCTATTATTATCAAGGATACAAATGAAAATTATAATGATGGTATTGATAAATTTCTTTAAAAAACATAATAATAATAATAGTAATAACACAAAAAGAACAACAACAAAGTAACAGTTATTTTTAATTTTTCTGCTCAACTGAAAAGACAGGATTGTTATTAGAAATGGTTGCAACAAAAACATGAACCTTGCTCCCCTCCTCTCCACTTGAAGCAACAGAAGGAGTAGAAGCTAAACTTTATGTCCTTTTGTTTAATCCTGTTATGTATTTATAACACTGCAACAATATGTGCTAGAATTTTAGTTGAAATTTTAAATGCATGA